TGGTTGTCGTCGCAGTGATCGCCGCAATCGTAACCTTTGCTTTACTATCAAAAGGCAAGTCTTTGTCACACATTTAACTAAAATAGGTGTTAATAACCGATACAATCATCATTCATATGAAAATAGGCTCCAAAGACACTCCAAACAAGTCTTCAACGGTTAGCGGAAATCCATTGGCAAACGGACCAAATGTGACGGCAAGTGGTATGAGTGGCCTCAACACCACCACAATCGGGACAACCAGTGCTCACATGAAAGCGAGACCAACGACAGGGGCGGCGAATGCAGCAAAGCCTACGCCACTGCCACTCGTGGCCACAACAACGCAGCGCAACGACAACGTTACCAAAGAGGACGAAGATTACACTAACAAATGTCTGGCGCTTCACAACCAGTACAGAGCTCTACACCGAAACACCCCTCCAATGAAGGCTAATATGACGGTATAGTACGGCCACACCAATGAACGGCCACTCACTTAACCATTAAATAGTTTAACGATTTAACGGACATATATTTGGTTTGATTTAAACAGTTGATGAAATCGGCCAAACACTACGCCAACCATTGCGCGGCCCAAAACAAGATAAAACATTCGTATGGGTTGGGTTTGGGCTGGAAGTATGGCGAAAACCTGTGGGCAGCCTATTCTTCCGGTCCTGTACTCCCTTTGTATAAAAAGGACGTTTGTAAGGATGCGGTGAAAACGTGGTACGGAGAGGCCAAACATCACAATTACAATTACAAGACTGGTCCACTCACTGCAAAAGATGTGGAAAATACCGGTCACTTCACTCAATTCATGTGGACGGTATCAACACATTTGGGTTGCGCTAAGAGTGTCAACGAAAAAGGCAGAAATTTAATTGTCGTTTGTCATTATTATGAAGCCGGTAATGACCCCCGGTATTATGTTAAGTACGTTATGCCACCCCTTTGACCACCCGGTGCTAGTGTTGACGCATTTTCATTTATTTTCAACTTATTCTCAATATCTATTTATTTGCGTTAAATTCTAATTGTTTTTCATATCCAAACACTATAAATGTGTGCCAAAAAATTACTTATAAAACTTACAATAAAATTGTTAATTAAATGAAAATTTCTAAGCAATCATTTAAAAACTTATTAAACATTTCTTTTGTTGTCATTACTTTTGAAAGAGAAATGTTAAACACTAGTATAACGTTATGTACAAAAATCACTCTTATCTCACATTTTTGTTTTTGCAAATGACTCTATTTTTGATTTAAATTCCAATAAAATTTTCAAATTATAAATTTTTCTGTAAATATGATAGTAGGATCCTACTAGGATTATTTGATATGAAAATGACCATTATATAGGTGACGTTCAGTTAAGCATACAGTTCACAAAAATACATGTACAGTGCAACCTCTATTGGGGAAAACTTATCTTGAGGAAACACCCCGTTTAGGGAAACACTTTAAAAATATTTGATGAATTTCCTATTCATATAAATATGATCTCATGTTAACACAACCTCTCATGGAGAGGTTGAACTGTATTTATTTACTAAAAATATTTGCATAATTATGAAACATAAGTTATTTATTATAAGTACATAGAATTAATGAGTATACCTGATAAATGATAATAATTTTAGTGATTATCTTTAATGGTGTATAATTCTAATACACAAAAGCCATAAACATAAATAAAAGTCAAGCATTCAATACTCAAAACCAGTAAACAAAGCATTAATTCAAAATTGTATTTCTTTTATTTCTATAGAAATTTACAAAAAAAAATATATGAATTCATTGTAAAAGTGATGCAAACGTAATAACATTATTATTTTTGCTATTTTTCAAACAAAATGTTTTGTATATAATATTGGTTTTAAAATTCAAACTATTTAAATATTTCAAAATAATATCATCTTTTGTACAAACTTTGATATTATATACAAAATTTAAGACAAAAGTATAATATGTTTGAAGCGACAAAAAATAGATCCAATTCTGTGATCAAGTATTGTATTATTGTAACAATTATTGCAATTATTTTATGTGTGGCAATAGAAGCGCAAATTTTATTAACAAAAGGTAAGTTTTGACATAAATATATAATTAAATTGTTGTTATAACGGATACTATCATAACTAATGTCACAATAAAACATCTGTTTATTCACTGAAACTTCAAAGTGTCGTCAAACAAACTAAACGACACGGGAAGTGGTGTCCACTCAATCGGGACAACCAATGATCAGTTTAATGGGACCGTAATTTCTAATCAACCAAAGACTATACACAAGAGAAGCCCTAAACAAACCAAAAGTAATGGCAAACCCATCGATAAGTTCAATGAGGAGTGTATTATCGCACACAACGAGTTCAGAGCTAAACATAAAAACACCGGTAAAGTGAACACAAGTGAAGAGGTATAGTATGGCTACAGTTGGGCCAACCGAATACATTTAAATGACATTTTTTATTTTGCGATTAGTTGATCAAATCGGCACAAGAAGTGGCCACAGATATGGCTAAGAAAAATAAATTTGCGCACTCTTGGGGTCGCGGTCTCGGCTGGAAGTACGGCGAGAATATGTGGATGGCTTTGGCCTCTGGAAAGGTGTGGCAATTGTATGACAAACACAGGTGTCGGACGACAATCAAGTCGTGGTACGACGAGTCCACTAAACATAAGTACAATTATTCGAGCAACAAAAATGATCTAGTAAAGGTTGGCCATTTCACCCAACTGGTGTGGACCACCTCACGCCAGGTCGGGTGCGCCCGAGCTATTAATGACAAAACCCGTAAGTGGTATGTCGTTTGCCATTATAAAGAGCCGGGTAATGAGCAGGGTAGTTTTACCAAATACGTTATGCCCCTTATACATGTATGACCGCCCAGTCTTGCATTGGGTTAATGTATTTATTTTTAACTAAACTTTTTATATTTCTACAAAATATTGTATTTTTATTCTACTTATTTTTTACCTTATGATTATATTAATAACTTTGATTAAAATTCTCACGTAAAATAAAGTATATTTCTCTTTATAATAAAAGTAATAAATTATTACTTTAATTGACAAAATTAAGTAATCAAATTTTCAATTTACCAATATACTGTATTAACTATTAAAAATCTCAATTTATACTGTATATCAATAATTTGTTGTGCGATAACTATTTCAAAATGTACTGTATATAAAATACAATGTTTGAATAATTAAGGAAATACATAGAATGAGTAAATAGAATTTGATTATTAATTTGTTGATTAAAATCATTCATTTATAAGGCCTGTAGTTTTATTAATTATTTATCAGATTTTAAAATCAAATGTTAAATACTTAAAACCAGCAAATGGAAAATTACTGATTATTTATTAATTAATTTAATAAATTAGTTTGTCACAACTTAATTAACAAATAATACATATGTTTAGTAAATTATATTTTTAAAATTTATGTTAAATATTCAAAAGTTTATCAACGTAAATCTGTGGGCTTATATCTTGATTATTAAACGTTGTATAAAGTTATTTATATAGATTTAATAATGGATATAAACTCAAAAGTATTCAAATATTTGAAAGAATATTATTTTTATACAAATTTAAAAGTTATCCCAAAAGACAAAAGTAAATATCTGAAATATTTAACAATTATTGCTATATTTATATTATGTGCAGTAATTATAGCATATGTTTTGCTAACAACAGGTAAGTCTTTAACATTAATATAACGTAAATAAGATGTAATAACCGATACCATCATAATTTAAATCACTTCAAAACATGGCCCTAAAGACTCTTCAGACAAATTTGCAGCGATTAATAAAAACCTATTACTAAACAAACGAAACGGTAGAACACGTATAGCGAGATCGGTTGTCAAAGAGATCACTGGTCTAATCACTACACCAGAAATGGACTACAAGTTTAATAACGATTGTCTTATCGCACACAACGAGTTCAGAGCTAAACACCAAAACACTCACAAATTAGGGTCTAATGCGAAGGTATAGCACAGCCACGAGTGGCTCATTCACTCAAAACACTAATATATTTGGTCGCAGACCTGACGGGTATTTTTATTTGAACAGATGGTCCAATCGGCCAAAGCGTATGCCATAGAGTTGGCAAAGAAAACATCAATAAGACATTCGTGGGGTAAAGGACTCGGGACCAACTACGGCGAGAACTTATGGTCGGTGTGGACTAATTCAACTGCCGGTATATTACCAATATATAAGAATCACAAGTGCCGGACCACAGTCAAGTCGTGGCACGATGAGGCCACCAAGTTTAAATACAATTACAACAGTAATGGCAATGATATTGAAAAAACGGGTCATTTTACTCAATTGGTTTGGACGACTACTACACTCGTTGGCTGTGCAAAGGGTGTGAATGTGAAAAGTAGAAGTATGTTTGTTGTTTGCCGTTATCAAGAATGTGGTAATGAAGTGCATAATACCAAACCGTTTGTTATGCCACCCCTTGACCACCCGTTTTATTTATCATCAGACTTTATTAGACAATATTAGACTTTAGATCTGCAAAATTTATATTAATATCAAACTATTCGAGTGTAAAAACATTTTAAATACATATACAGTATATTAATAAAATGTTAACAAATTATTTAATTTATTTAATATTTTAATGATAATCATTTTGAGTACTTTGTATGACATTAAATAATTTTTTATTCTAAATGTTGTATATAAACACAATTATTATTATCCCTAACTATTATTCTCACTAACTATTATATTTGACATGCTGTAGTACTTAAAACATCTAATTAGTTTCTTTGCATTATGTTGTAAAGCATAATAACACCATATTGTGGGTTATGTCCGATCTTAGAATCCAATTTATCCAAGACTTAGATATCACTTTCCAGTCAAAAGTAAGTTACAAAAAAAACTCGGAATTTACATTTTCTAGATATGTAACCAAACATCATGTGATTAATAATTACAACATGTATTGCTTATTACCATCTGATTAATAACCATTTCCGTCTAATTATTAAATTATTAAATTTCTAATTGTAATTAATTTCTAGAAACTACTTTTAATTAAGAAAAACCATATTTTTTTGCAATTAAGTAAATGATAATTATAATTTTATTATAGATAAGCTTTAACCCATTAACAGTTAACATAATTTCAATTGTTTTTAATTTGTGCTTGTGCTTTATATAAAGTTATCCACAAATATAACTATTTAATTATTTTTAATTGAATTGGCGGCAAACAGAGTGAGACTATCAAATATGCATTTGAACAAGGCAATAATGAGTATTAAAAATAATACATTATTAGTAATACATTAATAGTAATACTCATTATTGCCTTGTTCAAATGCATATCTGATAGTCTCACTCTGTTTGCCGTCAATTCAATTAATAAATTTGTTATAAACGATATTGGTACAAAAATGTCAAAATTAAATATACTAATACCGACGCGTGACGGCATCGCAAACTTAAATTCATGCATTGGTAAGTATAGGAATTTGAAACAAATAGTTTTTTAAATATATAACTTTTAATACGGTACATTAATATAACACAATTGAATACGATTAAAAATTTTATAATAAAGTACAATCACAAGTATTCAATACAATCAATTGTATATAACTAACTTATAACTAGGAATGGGTGAGTCGTTGGTGAGGGCCGGGCATCGGGTGATGTTCCTAATCAACGAGCAATGGAGGGGTCGACTCGCAAAGTATGGCATCGAAGAAGTGTTGTACGAGAGTCGG